TTTGTGCCCCGCCAGCTTCTTGTTCCATGCCTACCATGGTGTTTTTGTACAGACAGCACTTCAGACAGCAAGTATGCTGTAGTCGGCAATCATTCGTTTTGGTACAGAGTGGGACAGGTAGGGGGTGATGTTGCTGTAGTCGAACGGTGAGACGGACGTGTAGTTCAGTTTTGGGCACGCGTACGGTGCTGCAGGGATTATATATAGGTGTAGTAGTACCTCTTCGGGCTCTTGGATACCTTTTTCTTGCTACGTGTGCGTGTTCATCAGATCCTCAGATGGCTCTTGCACTTTCGTGACCACGGGCTGAGAGTCTTTGCTAGATTTTGGCATTTAGCAACTGGCATACGGTTTAATGTGAAGTCAACAACAACAACAACATCGAGAGGACGGAGCATTGTTCCTCCCCACAGGACCGATCGATCACCGATGGCCAATCGTTCCTTCCTACTTTGCCAAAAGTGGTTCAACAGTGCTTTCACTACCTTCGGGGGAAGGGGGGAGGTTGGGCGACGTGCATCTTTCTTGCATGTCGTAGTCCACCTTGAGTAGTCCGTTGGCCATGGATGGCCTGCTAGGACGTAAGAAGTGGTGCCAACACATGTAGCGGGCCGCATCTGCGTGAAGATAAACTGCAGCAGAATTGTGACAAGGTATGGTCTGCGTAAAAGTCGCACATTCTTCGCCAAGCCCAACCTCCACAAAAAATCAACTTCCCCAGCCCCACCCCACCCCCCGTCCCCCTTCATCACGGCGCCTGAGTTCTCCCCCCCGCTCATGACTGCACCTATACCCCCTTCCACTTTCTCACATTTTCAGCACTTCGTGAGCATCTGTGCAGCGGTCGACGCCGAGCCCGAAGTGTTCGCCGCATCGCTTGGTCTATTCGGACGTGTAGCCAAGCACCTCGACATCACGGGAAGGCGTGCTGCTGAGACAGACTTCGAGGGGTGCAAGTGGGCAAAGGCGAGTCGTTGTGTGCGACACCGGCTCTTTCTTGCCGCTTGTTGACGCCGATTGCCTCCGCCCTTCTCTTTATCCTTGACCGTCCTCAACATCAACAGCTGCAGTGGAGGAGGGAGAGGGGGGGGGAGATAATGGAGAGAGAAGAAAGCAAAAACAGACGGAGACAGAGAGAGACAGGCAGAGAGACAACGGAGGGAGAGAGAGAGCGACGGGGCGAGACACAGAGAAATAGAGAGACGAGGGAGAGAGAGACACAGACAGACAGACAGACAGACAGACAGACAGACAGACAGACAGACAGACAGAGACAGAGGAGATTGGCATCGCTCTAGACTTGAAAGTCTGGGCACTACCACGGACTCTGTTGTGTAAAAGAGAGCCGGGACTAGGCCAAGACCATTATTGTTTTTTTACTTTTCGTCGATTGCTGTGTGGCGGATTCGTGCACGTTCGATCGAGTGTCGTCGCGGTACATGATGCCGATCAAGTGCTAGTTGTTTTGATGCCCAGGGCAAAAGCCCTCCTTCCGGCCATCCTCTTGCCGTATCCTTGTAGAGTAGCGTTGAGTCCTTCGCTCCAGCGCATCACACAGGGCACAGAAAGGATGCTGCGCCCCAACAGATAGGTGTGTATACCATCTCTTGAGGGGACATAAGAACACACTTTGTCAGGTTCAAGACGAGCAAATCCTGAGTGCCCCTTCCCCTTCTGCCTCCCC